AAATGAAACTAAATTGAAAATGAAGCCAATCTGAAAAAGTAGCTTAAAATAATACTACCAAAAAGCAAAAATGTTTGCTGAGTAAGCGGTCAAACCATCTTTTCTTGTTGAAAGACATAACTACGACTTATAAACTAAAGATCTGAAAAGGTAGGGGTTCACTAGCATGGTAATCTTTTAGTTGCGTTGATGTAATCAAACACAGCGGAGCATACATCCCTGTGGCAGTAACCAAATGAAGTTCCGCCAAGTGATAAAATTACTGGTAGATTTACTTGTATTCCTATCTTTTGTAATGGGGCTACTAAAAACCTTTTTCTCTGATAAGAATAACGATGACAGAATAAAAAGAAATGTTCAATTGTTTCAATTTCGTTGCACCAAATGCATAGCGGTGACGCCTTGAGCCGAGCTTTATTAAGGTAATAATTTAGCTGTGGAACTGCACAGCGCAATCTGGTATAAGTGACCTCTAACTGGCGAGATACACACTACTGTTTATTCCAGCAATAGCGCAAATGCTCGAAATCTTTGAATTTATCCAAATTACCTTTTCCCCATTGCTGGCAAGCATTTCGGAACCTTAGCGCGGTTACGTAAGCCGTATCTGGCAAAACTGGGATGGTGGGCCCACCCAGGGATACTGCTGCTAAAGAGTCCGCCATTTCGTCCAAATATAATCCGCGTTGGCCTGGTACCCATAGCAAGTGCAGTTTTTTTTACGTTTTTCGGTACTAAATGCCGAAACGTATTCATCAGCTCTGAATTTACTGCCGCAGAAAGTGCATTACAAACTGATTCAACGCACGGTGCTCGACCGAGTATGGGAATGATGGGTAGTAAACGAATTTGTCTAATCTTAGTACTTCTGGTTCCGTGTGTGTTCGTGTGACATGGAGTTGTTTTCTCACGAAACGAATATCACCAAATTCTCATCGGTTGTGCTTCACCACCTTATCTGTTTAGGCTTACCACTTCGATTCGGGTCACGAAGTTCAAAAAAATTAATTTTTTCTTTCAAAACGAAACCGAAACCAGCAACAAACGAAGCCGCAAGTGCGATTAACCGCCCGCAAGTATGAAGACTAGGTAAATCTGTGTACGGCCCATCATTCCCATGGTCGCTGAATGATCGCAGCGCCAGAATTCTCTCTAGTTAATTTTAGGAAACTCTATGGCATGAACTACGTAAACACTTGCAGAGTTTGATTGCCGCCTCGACTCTGGCGACAGCTGCATGGCGTTGTAGACACAACCCTTTCGCACACCCCGAGGTGCTACGCTGTGTGAAGCAATCGTGTTTTGGGCAATCACAATCACCTGCCTATATGACCACGCAGACACCACCTGCACAGCCGCTTCCTACGCGTGATCAATCTCTCTCTCTCTCTTTTTTTTTGGCGCATTTCGATAAGATGTTCGGGCATGCGGACAAAGTGCGATATAATACCACCTATGCTTAGAGGTTTGCCTCGCGTTCCTCAACAGGCTGCTAATTCTCTTCACGTCCCTTCATCGCCCGAAGAGGTAAAGGCAGCACTACAATCTATGAAACTGGGGACGGCCCCTGGGCCAAATGGTTTTCCAGTTGAATTTTACTTGTCATTTTGGAATGAGCTTGGTACAGCCTTAAGCGCGGTTATCCGGCGATGTTTTGAGGATAATGTCTTTCCATAAAGCTTTAGAGATGGCCGTGTTGTACTAATCCCAAAAGCTGACGCTTCCTCTGTTGTTCGTAGAGATTGGAGATTTATCACGCTTTTTAACGTTGACTATAAGATATTCGCAACAGGGATTGTTCAACATTTGAGAGCTTTGTTGAACACCCTGGTGGGTCATCACCAGACTTCATCAATGCCTGGACGAGAAATACACAGCTTGTCTTTTACCACCCGGGATATCATAGATTATGGACGAAAGCACGCCTATCTTGAACCCAGGCGCCTTCGGCGGTATACCCTCGCTCCCAGAGACACCGTAATTTGTTTGCAACTGCCAAGGCGCGCCTCGCTAGCATGGAATGCAGTGGCTCTGGGAGCTTAAAATGCAAAAAAGCACCTGTTCACGCTGCGCCTGCTTATAAAAGGTCATCTCGGTACCACTGCGCTGTCATCTGACAACAACCATCGCAAGAGGAAGATATTGCTGAGCACTGCCTGTGAAGTTCACAGTGCATTGCGGGAATCATGCCGGTGCGGTGTTTTGCGATTGCACAGATTTTCGTTCACATCAAAAAACGACGAGCTCGTCCGCCTTAGGATATGATCGCAATCAGCAGAAAAAACTGCGAGCCCTGTGAAGTGTACGAGTAAGTAAGCTTAGTGTGTTTATTCAAGCGTGACTCCATCTGCTGCACTTAACAGCAGCGATTTGCGTGCAGTATGCCTGTAGTATGAGGCACAAAACTATTTCCGTACTCTTTCGCAGGCCGCATGTCAATAATAGGATATACGTATTACGACTCACGCGTGGATGCAGGCACCGCCCATGTTTAGTACAACTGTAATGGCCTACTATCGCGATGCGTGAACGGCACAGAAAGCACGACTTTCGACCCAGTCGAACTTCGACATGCCTTGACTGTCACTAGGCGAATCTACATGTGCTTTCGGCCGGCGTCACTGTAGCATTTTAAAATATTGTTCTGACTGGCACTTCTGCACCGCGCGTGTCTTCCGATTGCCCGGCAGCACTGGCAATTGATACACATGCGGTGCACGAGCGTAAGTTGGAACCAGATTCTAACGCTACGTTGACGCCGGGCTTACAGCACAAACTCTTCCTTGTCACAGCCAAGGCGCGCCACAGTTAGACTGAGTCGAAAGCAACGCTTTCCGCTGCTCGCGTTTCTTTCAATCGCAATAGTACGTACCTGATGAAGCTGCTTCCGTAGTCTGTAATGCGCGTGTTGCAGACATTCCGGATCGTCGAGGAAAGCCTTTTCGACGTTTCACACGAAATCAGCAGACAATTCCAGCACAGGAACAGCGCGAAACATGCTTACAGCTGGACTCGAGTTGTGAAGCTTCGCGTTTGATTTGCAGAGCTTCTGCTCGCCTGGCAGTTGAAAGTGTTGCTTCGCCACGCTTGCAACAGACGGCGCCACGCGCTTTTCAACATGACAGCAAGCACTGAGCTCGCTGTGTTCTGGTGTATACTCTGCCGCGATCTACGCGTGGTCGCCTTGTGTCTCTAGAACCGATGGAGGCGGAAATGTTGTAGGCCCGTGTGCTCAGATTTGGGCGCACGTCAAAGAATCCCAGGTGGTCGAAATTTCCGGAGCCCTCCACTACGGCGTCTCTCATAATCATATGGTGGTTTTGGGACGTTAAACCCCACAAATCAATCATGTAAGTTCTTTGCAGATGAAGCGACCACTCATTTGACTCAACGTAAAGGCTTTCTACGGGGCTGGTGCGAAAAGCACCCGTAGAAAGGCGGGTGCCCAAATGGTGCACGGGGTCCAGCATCTTCAAAGCACTTTGAGTCGCAGACTGATAAACAACGGCCCCATAAGCTAAGCGGGTGCGAACGAGGCTTCGATACAGATTCATGAGGCACTGCCTGTCACTACCATCATATGGTGGTTGTGGGACGTTAAACCTCACAAATCAATCAATGAATTGTGTCTCTGGACCAAGAGAAAGCATTTTACCGACTAGAGCACACGTGTATCTTTAAAGTGCTCACAGCCTTTGGTTTTCCTGGTTCTTTTGTGGAATTAATTAGACATACTTACTCTGGTATAAAAAGCACACTAGTTCTAGATGGTTGGGAGAGTGCTGCCTTTTCTATTACATGTGGGGTGCGTCAGGGATGCCCGTTGTCACCTGTTCTATTTGTCCTCAGCATTGAGCCATTTTTGTATGCTCTAGAAGCGGATTCACATGTCAGGGGTCTTGCGCTTCCCGGCAGCAGTGCCGTCAAAGTCACAGCTTTTGCTGGCGATATAACTCTGTTCCTTTCAGATGAAGATAGTCTTTCACATAGCCTGCGTTTATTCTTTCAGTACGGTGACATTTTAGGTGGCACGCTGAATTTCTCTAAATCCCGGTATTTGTTCATCGGCTGTTCAAACTCCAGACTTAGCTCCGCATTTCTTCTTCAGCCGGCTGCACATGTTCGCATTTTAAAAATTCTATACAACCACTACGGCGTTTGTAACTCCGTTTGGTCAAACACCTTCGACAAATTAAAACAAACAATTGAGAACGCACGGGATTTCGAATCTGGAGGGCCGTGCATGCTGTATTTCATGGCCTCGGAGTAAATCGCTTTGTTTCCTCTGGGCGTTGTTCTCGAGGCCGCTTCGCCTGCCTTCTCATTGTTGCTGGTGCCTACTGTCTTTGGCGCAATCGCTGTGAGGTGGTTGCAGCAGGTCGTCGCCGTCACGCTCTCTTCCCGATTTTGGAGCGACTATACAAAGATATACTATCTGTTTTGTCAGAGGAACTGTTCCTTCTCGGTGAGGAGGAATTCCTTCGACACTGGTTTTGCCCTTTTTTGTTCGTCTGCGAGAGACGTGTAAAGCTTGTGTTGAGGCCTACCTGGTTTTGGTAGGTTAATGTTTGTTTAGTACTCGCACAAATACCTTGTAAATACTATGTAAATACCTAACATATGGATCTTTACGTTTCATTTGTGTGTTCTTCGTTTACCATGCAATGAACATATGTCAACATATCTTTTTGTAAGAAATTTTGGTGTGTGTGTTGATGTTGTGTCCCATCATGATGTTCTGTTTGATTGTACTTGATGTTCACTGTTCTTGAGAATAAATTTCTCTAAAAACAAAATCGAGTTCGATGTCCTGAATGCTTCGTTCATCTAAGCTGATGACAACACTGAACCCTATAGTACCTGCCGGGGAATGGAAACGTTTTGTTTAGTCCGGGAAGTTCGTGAAATCTGCTTTCGATCAATAGGGTTCGAACTATGTTGAAATAGCCCTTTACGTAATCTTCACGACGAAAACCAAGCGTCGTTCTCTGTGAGCGCAGATGGGCCACTTCCTGTACGCTGCACGCGGCTTCGACCTTCTGGAGAAGATTGACGCCAACCCGGAATACTGGGAGGGCAAGAGGGGAGCCTGCGTGGGAACATTCCAAAGGGTGATTGCCGGCAAGGATGAGCCGTGAGTATTATAGATAGTAGTTCTACCATAATCGAATCGAAGCTTGCCCTTGAAATAGTAGAAAGAGACGGCCGCATACACCAACGTGTACAAATGTACTGGGGTCTGGGGAAGAGGGGTTCTAAGGCAATGAAAAGAATGTAGAAGGAATAAGTTTTTTTATTCAGAAAGAGCAGCTGTACCTTTTTCTTGAAACTGGCACAAAAGATCTGAAGTATTCTCATACGAACGGATAATAAGTCAAACATACGAGGATGCATGCTATGCGTAGTTGCTGGATTCAGCTATGCGCATACTTCATGCAACACCTTGGAAGTCCATTGTCTGAACGATAAATGACGTCAACGCATTCGAACGGTATCTTTGGTTGATTATAAAAATGGAGAGTGCGTTAAGAATAAGCTTTCGCATACTCTCATCCTCCGTTAGCAGTGATCACAACGGCACAATGCGGTTCACGACATAAAATATACATGAAATAGTCTCCACTAATTAAATCGGCTGACATTAAAGTGAATGTGCAAGCTTGGAAACATACATATTAAAGCCACGTCTTTTTTTTTTTCAAAACACAGGGAATGCCTGCGGGAGATCGTGGAGATGCTGAAGTCCGAGAGCCACTCGCAGGCCGAGTCCATCAGCAAAGTGATACGCGGGTGGTGCAAGGAAAAGAAGATTGCGCTCTCTTGATTGCCGAGTACGCCAGTGTACGTAACAACGAATAAACGCATTTGGTCAGTCATGGTGTGCATTCATACTAGACAAGCAGTGCTGGCTTTGCACTGCGTGGCCCTATCGCTGCCGCTCTTGCGGCACTTATCTCTAAGCCGTCAGTGCATGCAACCAGTTAGAAAAAACATGTAAAACTATGAAGCCATGTAAAGTGCTGGAGGGCCCCTTTGATGGTCACTGTTTTGTGTACACCCTCGACCAAGGGTGCATCCAAAATAATGGACTTATTGTATCGCTGCTGCAACAAGTTCTTCGAAGCGACCTACTTCTTCCTTCGAAGTTTAGCGGCATCGAGTGCATGTATCACCTTTCCGAATTTTCCAGAACATATACTCTTTGTGGGGTAAACGAAACTTTGGTCGTAACTGCACGCTGGGTCGCAGTAGAGACGACATCGCTATACGCAGCACCAATCGTAATCATAGGCAGCATAACTCGTAATTCCGTAATTACTATCTATTCGTTAAATAGGCTTCACAAGCGTAGCCTGAAACAGCATGGTGATTTCTCTCTAGGTACACCTTCGTGATAACCGTTAGGTGAACTGGCACAAAATCAGATTGGTGTTGCGACAACGCAGTGGACAACGTAGACTTCAGCTATTTAATATTAGAAATAGCAATATGCATCTTTAATTCGTCAACGACCTTGCTGAACTGCTAGTCAATGCTCGTAAACGCCCGTTTTTACAGGATACCTTGACGGAAACGACAAAAGACTGCACCGTCTGGCTAACATGATCACTTGGATGAAATTTCGGAAACGATGTACTGCATTTTTTCGTGTGATGTTTGATACTTAATTACAGGAAAATACCTATTTGATTCTTCGGTCACATATTTGCCATTCAGCCGGAAATGTGTGTGGTGCCCTCTCTCACGTGACGTCAGTTGAGAGAGTGGGGTGCTGTTCCTTGCGCACGCATACTACATATAGGCTGCTTCACGTCGGCGGACAGTCTGTCCTGCTCGAGTTAACAAAAAAAAAAAAACAGCATTCAAGTTGATCAAACAATTTGCACTGAATGTTTAAGCCAAATGCTGCGCGAAATCGAGTCGAGGTGCTGTCAGGAGTACGTTCAGTATCGGACTCGTCTGCTTGCCATCAATGTGTAAATAGGCACGCATAGCAAAAATTTATTTTTCTGGCTGATAACGCACTCAAGATGACTTGCCGGCCGATTTTCAATCATTTGCAATGCAGTGTTCAAACTTCAGATTCCGTGTTTGCGTCGTAGCTAGACGCATTTTTACAGCATTCTACGTGTGTTCCGTCGATTGAGCTTCGTTGTTCAGACTTTTAAAAGAGCAGTGGCACGTATACCTTACGCATATCGCGTTTTTTGAGTAAACGAGTTCTTTTATATTCACTAGGAACAATTAAGTACTAATAATGAAACAGAGGGAAAAAATAACATATGTATTATCGATTAGTGCGACCAGCGTCAAACCCAATTCAAAACGGCTGCAAAGCCCGCCAATTTTCAGCAATGCGAGCGCTGCCACGCGGTCACCTCCCGCGGTACCGCCCCAATCTAATCACGTGGCCATACGAAATGGCGACGTGATCTTCAGTTGACATTTCGTCGGCTTCTTTAACGTGTACCCAAATCTGAGTACACGGGCCTACAAAATTTCCGCCTTCATAGAAAATGCAGCTGCCGCAGCCGGGATCCGATGCCGCCATCTGCGAGTCAACAGCCGAGTATACCTTAGCCACTAGACCATCGCGGCGGGGCATATATATTGTTGTTTTAGATGCAGGAAATCCAGATGGGAGACGAGATTGAAGGACCCAGGTCGGACAAACGTGGTTGCTTTCTAACAGACAAATCAATGTGAAAGTTCTAGAATAATTTACAAATATGAATTATCGCGGGTGCACCTTCTTGCGCCTGGAAAGCACATACATAAAGTGGCATATACTACAAGTACTAGTTTCACTGAATAGCATATCGTGTGAGAGTGTAAGAAAAAGTGATCGGCGGTCGGCAATGCAATAAACAGTTCTCTGCGCTAGCTGCATGCTGTATTGAATAACTATAATATGCCTGACGTTTCGGAAATCATCTCGTTTCAAACCTGTGTTATAGGAGAACGCACTAAAGGTGCCATGTATTTGCTTTGCAAGTCTGGCAGTGCCCATATACAGCAAGCGAATGCATTCGTATGCTGACAATAGAGGTTGCATGATGTACGACTTGCTGTCTACAACAGAAAAAAAAAGCTTTTCTTAAAGAAAAAAAATCGCCTACGAGCGTGACTACAGTTTCTTTGTTCTTTCCGCGCTTTGTCCATATTGTGAATTGATCTTTACTGCACGTGGATGATAAAAAATTACAGTGATTGTTCACAGGCTGTTCATAACTACGATCCTGAAATATCTCAAGTCTGTTTTTGTGCAGAAAGAGAGGAAGTTTTGATAACGAAATATGAGGATCCTGCTTGCTGCAATTCTCGCCATCATGATCCTTGACGCTGTTGTCGCATGTGAGTATGCCATAGCTGGACACCTACGGGGCTTAGAATTGTTTTCATTGGAGGTTTGGTGCTGACTGCGCCAAAATGATATGACGAAGCCTCATTCGTCGAAGAATGCTTAAACATAAAGAATACAAGAAAAAGAGCGCAGCTTTCCACGTTTGTGTATACGCCTTTGCTGGGCGTTGAAGCTGAGTTGTTATTTACGACGTTTGGCTTAATCTTATCGTTTTAGTTTCCTGTGTCAGCACCGCTTAAGACAATGCCGGTGCAAGATGACTGTTTTGTGTTGTCCTTGTTCGTAGATGTGGTGGCAGTACATGTCATTCGGTAAGACACCTATTGCAGTGAGGGTTAATGCTTGGTATATTGTGTGTCTATTGTCTACAAAATAAATGTCGCCACTATTGAATGTGGAGTACCTCCTTCTTGAAATGAACCCTGGGTGTGTAGATGAGTATGAAAGTGGTTGAGAAGAAAATTTAGTCTAGTCCCACCTGGATGTAAATGTGCGGTCGGTCGGTCGGTCGGTCGGTCTAGCCGGTTACGTTTGGGGGCTCTCGTGGTCAGCCACATAACTTGGCATGAACCAAAATTAGCATGGGAGGGTAAGATAGTTTGACGTATACGATGCGCTCGTCAAAACATTAATAATGTCACATTCCCGTCGCGTACGTTGTCAAACACTTCCCGCTAGAGAGTGACACAAACCCACGGGCGAGTATATGCGACTGGCGTCTCTCATAATCATATTGACGCGTGTCTACATGTGGACGATAACGATGATGGGGCATTTAGTGGGCACTAGGTAGTGGGCCTATAGCTTCTCTCGAGGCCGAAGAAGACGATCTTGTGGCTCAGCTGTTGAGGACACGCTGCTTTCGTCGTCCCAAGCTGCACCTGTGTTTTATTCGCGTTGTACCGCGACTCTGGTGGAGGTGCTAGGCCGCAACCCTGTCTGATGCTCCACACGCCCGCTGGGAGCCGTTCATCGAGTCCAGACGCATTGTCACCTGTAGAAACTCCGGTGCATCGCTCCAGTCGACAGTTGCGAGGCCTTGCCCCAGAGCTGACACTCGCCGGAACCTGCTAGGCACCGCACACCTCAACCAATGGCCAACGCAAGCCCGCAACAGGTGTCCCAAGGCAGCTTTTCGACGCACCCATTTCAGGTGACCCTCTTTCAACTCCTCGTTCCCGATCGCATTAGTGGCGGTGCCCATGAGGACGTTGTTGCGAAGGCGGACCGATCCCGCCGAAGCAACCACTGTTGCGAAAGACGGCGACGCCAACACGGCCCCGGAGGCGCCACTGCTTTCAACTCCGCCGGGAAGGTCACCAGCCGTTTGGTAGCGTATGTTTATCAGCTCGCGACTGCTTCTGCGCAGAGCTGATAAGACGAGCGGACGAGACGACGGTGAGTTAAACAAGGTTTATGTACAGCATATATACAGAGGCGTTACAATTTCGGCACTGGGGCCGAAAGAGACTCGAAGAGCCGAGCTCTCCTCTCTAACACATAGGTCAGCCTTTCGCCTAAGACCGCTGACTCACACACATGTCGGCTCTCCGACACGGGGACTCCTCTCTCTAGGACCGCCGATCGCGACGCGCCGCAGGGCTTCTTTTATTTACACCGGGTCCAACCAAAATGTCCAATCAGAAGCGCCGCTGGTCGTCAGGGCAGATTTCCCCCAATGGGGTCGCCGCGCCATGCGTCAGACCACCAGACACGCGGACGCCGGCTCGCTGTCACGTGCGCAGCTGACTCAATGCACGCGGGCCAGGGAGGCGCCGCGCGTGTTCACTCCGTCGAGTTGATCGCGCCAGGCGGACTGCGGGCTGGCCTTGACCCAGATTGCCTTTTTCAGAGGCACGGACGTTTGACGATGACTCGCTGGCATAACAGCACCCCCGCCGCCAGACAATGCACCGGAAAGACGAGCTGCTTCCACGGGGCTCGGATGTCAGGTGCGCTCGTTCGCCAGGTCCCTCCAGGTTCGCCTCCAGGGCCATGGGGAGAATACAGCTCCAGACTGTTCCGGGAACACCTCCCATTTTTGACGACGGATCCCAGCTCCACTGGCTTGTCGCCACAACTTGCTGGCCAACTTCGCTCGTTTCTTCTGACCATCTTCGGTTTCAGCACTTGTCGATGGTTCTGCAACTTGCCAAGAACGGATCGACAACAGACAACACACGACACACGCAAGTGCCTTCGGTCACCCGACAGAACACCAGACAAAGTATAGTACAACATATACCTATCTACGTGTCTATCGGAATTTTGTTCCCTCTACATCAAGAGGCACATGTGGGACACAAGACTCTTAAAATGACAACTCAATATTTTTTTTTCCCACGTACAACAACGTAACGAATTAGAATACCACAAAGTTGGCCCCTTGAGATCACTCTGAACGAGAGCGCTCAGCCCAGGTCGTGATGAGGTCAAAATTTTGCCCCGAATCGCCAGCC